GATTGGTTATTCTATGCTGGGCTGCGCCATTGATCCGTACTTTGAAGGGGTCGCCCTGGTCGACTCTTACCTCAACGTGAGCAATTAAAACTTCTGCAGGGTTCTTATTTATGCTATTTCACGTACTCTCATGTGAGATAAGGCAAATTTTATATGCTGGGAATTTAATTTGGTGTATCAAAGCTTTCGCACACATAATTGGGTTGCTGCGGGTTTTATTTAGGATTATTAAAGCGTTCTAATGTAATACCCCTCTAGAAAATTTAGCATCAATTGAGTTTAAAAGATTCTGAACTAACGCCCACAGGCATCATTTTGCCAAAAAGAAAAATAGTGAATAAAATTCTAAGAATTTAAGGGATAGTAATTGATCATTTAAAGAAAATTAATGGTTTATAAAAAATAAATAAAATAACGATATGTTTAAAGCTCTATATTTTATTTTCAGTGCATTGTAAAGTGAAACTTATTTGTTTTAAAATGTTCCACTTATAATTTATTATACCAAAAGAAGTTTAATCAAACAATTAGCAAAAGTATTTCGCAATCAACATTACTTATCAAACATAAAGAGACTCGAATCTTTTTGAACGCGTTCTTATTAACTTAATAGTATGCCAAAATACGAAGTTACGCTTATATCACTGGGTAAAATCATACAAGAGTTACACTTTGGGCCGTATGCTAAGGATTGGTGGATTCCTCGTTTAGCTAATGATAATGTAACATACACGTATCTCTATCCAGTTCGTCTCGGTATGAAAACTATAACTACAATAAATCAGTGTGACTTTATAATTACAGTAGGTCAGGATGGTTTTGAGCCTGGATATTTATGCCAATCCGAAGCGTTGCAAAGTAATATATGTAAACATTCATCAGAAGCAGTTACCTCTGCGTATCAACAGGCCTTTTTTACAAAAACTAGATTAGACGGTCTTTTGGTTATGGGATTTGACAACCCAGAAATATGTAAAACGTTACTTACTGATATTCATTTTCATCCTTATACTTTTAAAATCAGGAATGTAAGTTTGACAATATTCGGAATTGATAAATCGAACAATCCTAATTGGAATTATGCTGGAAAAGGATACCAAAGCTCTTTTTTACATAACTTTCGCAAAACTCGAGCATTGTTTGTTCAAGAATTTAGTAATAAAGAGGCAATTATTAAAATATATCAAAATTCACAAGAAACATATGTTTTTCGTGATACTGACCCTAATGCAGTTTGGAATAAAATTGGTATATTAACACAATTTACAGGAAGCATGCTATTTGGACTTGAACATAAAAAAACAAAATCAGAAATTAATAAAGAACAAACTCTCACATGTACAGTTGAAGATTGGCAAAATGAGCAGACTATGGATAAGCTATTTAATTATCATCTAAAAAAATTTATTGCCGTGTCTATAGAATGGAAAAGCTTTTTTATTAGTTGGCTAAATCAAGAAAGTAATGTTATTGAATTAACAACACAGCTAAAAAAAATATACCCACTGGATTATACTATTAAAGATCGCGAAATGCGTGCATAGAAAGCCTTATTACGACATACGAGATGTACTAATATAACGCTTTTTGAAAAGGAATCCACGGTAACTCTTTAAAAATAATAATAAACATATGGGCTGCCGTCAATAGAAATAAGGCAGATTGACATTTTAAAAAAAAAATTAATAACTTTCACAGCTTATATCTCTATGGATTTTGATGCTATATTAACAATTTAATAGTCAAAAGAAAGCTTGCGATCTAAGCTTTCTTTTGAATATTAAATCACCAAGATAGCCTCAAGATCCATCAAGATATGAGCTGTGAAAGTTAAGGTATTAATTTTTTTAAAAATGTCAATCTGCCTTATTTCTATTGACGGCAGACCATATATACCTATTTCTCTTATACATATACTCTGAATCGAAACAAAACCTTGATTTATGCCCAGGCACCCATATATGAATAAAACTTCGTATTCGAATAAATAGTATATGGAGAATAATGCGAATAAGCAAATTTATTCGAATAATTTTATTATTCATCGTGTGAAACTTCAGTCATTGGCTGTTTCATATATAGTAACTATTTTTAGCTGCTCAATATTCAATATTCGAATAATATTAGTCATCCGGCGAATATTCGAATAAATATTTGCTGATCTAAATCATTCGAATATTATTCGAATAAGAAATCAGTAAGCTCTATATATGATTATTACACTCAAACACGTGAAATAGATGTCATATTCTTATTCACAATTGAACCTTCTTGGGTATATATCAGAGATCATTATAACTTAGGTTCTTAAAAGCCGTTTTCCTGAAAGAACATAATTCTGATAAAATCGGAATTATATTCTTTCAGAAAAATGGCTTTTAAAAAATCACACCAAATCTAGAGAACATGGTATATATATATATGTATAATTTTAACTCGCAGTATTTGTAGTTTGAATTTTGGACTCGATCAAAGGACTCAGCTAAAGACCAAGCTATTTTAAAGCAGTTATATGAATGT